ATCTCAACAAGGGAAGGGAAAATTACTACCCTCAACTCAATAGCCTCAGAGAGTGAAAAGGGCGATAATCAACTAAGCACAGGTCAAAAATGCAAGAAGCAGAGCCAGAAATAGTCCCTCCTTGACCTGTTATTTAGACACAGTGAACAGGTCCAAGCTGCTCCTTGCTTTCTGTCGAATCACTGAACACATACATCTGAATGACTATTCACCAAAACATCTTGCAGCTACATGCAGACATCCACAGTCAGCAAATGACCTCTCTGCACTGGGCATAAACAGTTTGTGCAGAGTTGGCCTGTGAGTCACAGAACGTGAGAGTCACAGAATGCTGGAGGTTTCCCTACCCAACTCCATCTGAGAGGCTGTGAAGAAAAAAATAATGCAGCACATTATGGACTCTATTTAAATTGACATATTTAAATAGTGAGCACGTAGAGGGAATAAAGAAAAAATAGAAAGCGGATGGCTAAAAGCAGCTTAGAGTTTCTTTTATGGACGAGGGACAGCTCTGCGCTCATACGCACACTGCTCAAATATCCGTTTGCTTTCCCCCTTCCACATCCTAGCAACTTTTCTTTTTCCCGTCGACAAACTCCATTACAGACTTGACAAATCCATTACAGACCCATGGAGAGTTTTTTCCCTCTTCCAAAAAAAAGCGAGGGGGGGGAGGGGGTAGGGGTACATTATTTTTTCCCTCTGACTGGTGGAGGAATATCATAAATAAAGCAGGTGCTCAAGCTGGCAGTTGTGAAGCCTAAGGCTGCAGGCCCCTGTGCAAAGAATTGAGATTAACAGCAACACAGTGTAAAGAAAAGTTCATACTGCAGCTATGAAATTAGTGAACACAGTTTGATTTAGGCTACCCTAGTCTCACAGACCACAGAGATACACTGACCCCCTGATTTGTATTGTAGGATGACCGGAACAATCTGAATTTTGTCAATAATACTCCTATTGTCTAACTGCACTGCTGTACCTACCAGTCTGATAGTAAACAATGTTTTGTTTCTCAAATTAAATGCTAGTTAGTTAGCTGTAGCAAACAGCTGGATTGTCTATACACCATTAGCACACAACAATGAGCAGACATGGTGGTGGATTAAAAAAAAAAAATCCTATTTTTAAATGGTATAGTAGCAACCTTGTGCACGTTTCCTGAAGGTCTGTTCATGAAACTTTGGGGTCGATCACTTTGCAAATCTGTTAATTGTCCCCTTCCAATCAAAATTGGTGGCCGTTCATCATGTTGAGCCATGAAACCCACTGCATTCTCTGATGATAGTCTGGCTTATGAGGCTAAAGGCCTCAGTATACTTCTTGTGGAGATGACGTTTGGCTGGCTTCAGCAAATAATATGACATACTTGCTGAGAAATCGAACAACCGCAGACATGTGGAGGCTTTGCTTGTTTGTGGAAGTTCAGTGGCAGTTTGGCAAACTCCATAGACAAACACAATAGGACACAACAACACGTGAGTCGCTTTGTTTCACTGAAAAAATACCAAGATGGCCAACCTCAAAGTTCACATTTGTTGTTTTCAATAAGACCTAAAACACCTAAAACATATATTAAATTAATATATATGCCACAGTTAAATGAGCTGGTGGCATTCTAACATGTCGTTTTGGAAATGTTGGGGGAAAAACTGACTAGACACATATCTGTACCCTTCTTAACAGGTGTTTGTTCACACACTTTTTCTAAATTTAGATATACATCACATAAGTGTGCAATTATGTAAGACAAAGCAAGTGTGAGCTTTGGGACAGGCCATACGCCTGCCCCATCTGCTGTTCAGAATGATTGGGCCACGTCCTTCTGGCCTGATCGGCGGGGGCAGCCTGGTGCAGGCGATGTCAGGCAGTACAGTGTGAACTGAGTCGCCGTGCCTCATAGAAAGGCGCTGGCAGGAGCCTGACGAGATGCATGCAGAGAGCAAATGTGAACTCTAATAGAGAGTGGCACGTCGAGAGGAACGAGGCAAAGAGTGTGACTGAAAATGAGTGCACCTCGGCGAAATGAAAACTAAGCTGAATATATAAAAAGGGAGAAAGAACGACTAAATAAAAATGAGAATATGACAGGTTGAGATTTCTATCATGATCTCATGAAAGGCTGTTGGCGACCTACTGAGCCCATAAGTAGCATATTTTTTAAGGCAAACACAGAGGCTCAAAGCAAAGGACATTACTTTCTGCTTCCTAATTACAAACACCGCACGTTCAGGCTTCTCTGTTGTGTGTTAAGTTGCTTGACAGGGTGAAACAGGTGCACAGGAAGTGTGTTACACTGAGGTAGGTGTCCGTTTGCCATTGTGATCCAAAGGAGCACTGAGCTAGGCTTATCAATGGCCAATGATAATGAACAAATGCTCCGAGGGCAGATAACAATGGACGGCCCACCAGGGCTGAGATACCAGGCCATGGCGATGGGCTCAGTGCTCCTTTGTAATTCAAAAGATCATATTTCAAAAGAGAAAAGTGAGAGAGAGAGAGGGAGAGAGAGAGAGAGAGAATGCTGATATGATGTGATCAGAAGAAGTGTCAGAAGACACTGAAAGGAAAAAACAAGGGCAGGGCTGAGTTATTAGTTCTCCACCACTGACTCAACTGCAGAAGTCTGTTCAGACAGTGGGAGGAATGCAGTTCCCTCCTTATCATTGACAAGCCTTACAAAAAGCACTACATCTCAGGTTTCAGCTCACTGCCCGCTGGTAAGGCAGCCATGCTCCAACACTTATAATGGTACCAAATTCTGCTAAATTGAATTCTTAATTCTCACCTTCAAAATAAACTGATAGCCTAAACAGTGGTTGAAGATCTTAGCATTGAGATTAACACATTAAAAATATGCTGAATCTAAAGGTGGCCCATATGTCAAAAATATAACATTACAATATAATATGTTTCACAATATTCCTGAGATTTGCAAACAAGTTGGAATGGAAAACATGCACCAGCAGTGCAGCAATCTATGAAATACCTGTTTTAATATTGCAATTTTTTGTTTGATTAATTTTATTTTTTAATTATTATTAATTAAAAAGTAATACAAGGAAAAAAGTAAGACTAGTAAAAAGTAAAAACAAGTAAAAAAAAAAATACATTTCAATGCCATACTGGCATAATGGGCCAGCATCCAATCAGGTACTTATTACAAAGAAGGATTCAAATTTTGCCAAATTTTTTTTGGGCAATAATCGACCGTAATTAATCAGCAATTACTCATTAACCAGAAAGCCAAAATTAGCAAGCCCAAAATCAGGGATGCAACCCAACAAAATAGGTGGGTCGCAAACTAGTGGAATCGACAATGTGAGGTCCAAGTATTTTTTTGAAGGCAAAAGTAGGCACTTTGCCTGTTGGCACTATAATCCGCTGTCAGGTACTGTGGGAGTAGAAAGTGAAAGAAGAAGTGAATATGCTTGTTGAAACTGATCAGGTTTGCACCTTTGACCTGTAGGGCCGAGGCAGAAAGAGCACAGTGTGTTTCGTCAATCTAACAAGTGTGGACAAGGTGACCTGGGTCTTAAACAGCAGAGCCAGGAGACACACATGCGCACACACCTCTCCTTCTATTGTCCAGCACTGAGATTAAGCCTCTAGCATTAATGAGCTACCTAGATGGAATGCCAAACTGCAAGAGCGATGCAATAAAGAACGGCTTACTGTACACACACCTCCACACAGCGGCGTGATGACAGAACACCTCAAGTAGCACAGGCCTGCATGACTGCAAGTCCACAGAGCAACTCTGTTACTCATTTAGATATTCACACTGGGGCCAACACCCCAACAATAGGCTTCAACTGTTTAACTTTGTGTGTGTACACATTCCAGAAACTGATGACCCCACATACACACACAATCTCTCATTCACACACAAATCAATTTACATTTAAGTTGTAAGTAAAAGTGCTGGTTTGCATATTCTTCATGTTGGCCAGTACTATCTCAGAAATGCCTGCCCCCACATGTTGCTACAGAAATATGCTCAGCAAGCGTGTGCAACACATTGACGCAACAGAGGGGCACTTATGAAGCACTCGCAGAACATCAGTAAATGTCAAGAGATTGTTTTCCTCAAACAACAATGGAATGTAATCTACAAGGTTTTCAATCTAGAGCTTCTAAGCCAATAAGAATCAGAATCAATAACTGACCACTTACAATTAAATTTGTCTTGGCAGAAGCTCACATTGAAACAAACAGGTAATTAAACAGAATATATGATAGAAGAAAATATGTACTAGTGGTCAAAAGTTTAGTATCAAAAAAACTTGTATCTATGGCAGATAAATGGCTATGAAGAAAGGAGAAACTTTCAATGTGTCCTTAAAGATAAACTTCACAAAATTCTTTAATGTATGAGAAAGTATAACATTGAGAATGAAGTTCTTATAAAATTAACATCTTTAACACCTCATATTTAAAACATGATAATCTCAGGCAGGTAGCTATAAGCAAATAATCATAATATTTATCATTTAATAACTTTTTGGCATCCCAAAAAATGACACTGAACATTAAATAAAACATCTTCTGATGCCTTTCAATCTACACTGTGTAATGATTGCACTGTTTATGATTCCAAACTTTTGATTGCTAGTGTGTATATATATATATAAATAAAATAAAATAAAAAGTTTCATGTACAAAAGAAAATACATACAGAGTGAAGTGCATGTGCAGAGCAATGCTGTGAATGTTGTGATTAAATACAAAGCTGTTTGCAAAACATAAAGTGAAATACAGCAGCTCCCCAACTAGTGTCATCCCCCTGTCTAACCTAATGAACATTATTTAAGACAGCGCAGGAGGCTGCCCTGCTAAAGCCATTTAAACAGACGGCACTCTGCGTGAGTCTTGCGCACAGACCTGCTCTGAACAGGAGCCTGTTGCACCTGCACAACTCCCGGTTCCAACACGGCACTGAGAAAGCGAAGCACGGGGATCATTACAAAGAAAAAAAGTGCAGTAACATAAACGTTTACCTTCCAGCACTGAGGTGGGATGAAGTCCTTGTGTGTCCCCCATTGTACACTCTCTCTCCCCTCTCTCCCTCCTTCTCTCTGATTCAGCTGACAGGAGAATTGGTGGTCTAATAGGTTCCCATGTAGCGACTTCTTTCCCTTTTCAGACAAAACACTGAAGGGTATTTTTTCTCTGAAGCCGAGAAATTAGCATGAGCTGCTTCCTGCCTCACCTGTACTCATCTAACCTGTTCTGCTATTGATCGACACCACTTCCTCCTCCCCACTGCACTTCACGTGCACCTGTTGAAACCAGATGCATACGTTAGAAAATAACGCATAAGCCATAAAAAGCCTTCTTCAAAGTCACCTTGAGTATTTTTCTTCCAATGCCTTATTTTTTCTATGAGCCAATTACAGCTTTTTAAAGCATAATTTTACATAAAATGCTATTATATACCACACCATTTTCCCACCGCAGGGAACGGCAGATCTTTTCGAACATTATCTTTGCCTTGTAAGCACACAGGACAACAGAGACAACATAGCTTATGCAGCTTATACTGAGAATGTCCCAGTGGTATGACCAACTGAAGTAATTATATGTTTTTCTTTCAAACTGCATAAAATTATTGCTGAAATAGCAAAAAACAATTATAAGATGTTTTCCCAAAATAAGCTGAGTGAACTGGAAATTGCTAAATTCCCTTTGCCTGCTCTGGGCAAACGGATGCAATACTGCTGTACAAATAACACGCAAAAACAAGATCTATGTGAATAACTCACTTTAACGTGCACATGCATACATATACATAAGCACAAAGCCCTGAAAGATTCATTTATAGGTCAACGGCATGACATGCACTTTGTGTCCAAGTCTATTAATTTCCTATTATATGACTTAATAAATACAAGTCATGTACCACATTGTCCTACAGAATGTGTGAATGCATTCAGTGCATCAAAATAACATTCATTTTAATATAATAATTTCAAATAATAATAATTTTTATTTATACAGCACTTTTCATGCTGGTGGCAGCTCAAAGTGCTTTACAGACAGGTGGTAAAGCAGTTATACAAGAAATTATAAGTATTAATTTAGAACCATAAGAAAATGACACAGATCAAATGAAAAGATAAATACCATGAGACATAGAGTTTTAATGAAATGCTAAGTTAAAGAGATAAGTTTTTAGATGCTTCTTAAAAGTGAGCACTGAGCTTGACTATCAAATAAAAGGTGAATTGAGCTCCACAGTTTAGAAGCAAAACAAGTGAACAAGGCCTCTCCATGTTTTCTGTATTTCACAGAAGGTATTTGTAGAAGGCCACTATCTGCAGATCTAAGATCACGTGCTGGAACATAAACAGACAGACACTCTGTGATGTAAGCAGGTGCTTTAAGGTCATTTAGAGCCTTAAAAACTAGTAGCAGAACTTTTAGGCAATTATGCCTCTCAAAGGTTAAAATATGTCAGAGTAATTTAGTCACATATTATTCTAAATTAAGTAGTTTGGCATAATTTGTGTTTGAGGCCTTTAAAATCATAACCCGTCACAAAACAGGCAGCTTCAAAAGAATTCGACCTATTGAAAAACTTTTGTCTGTAAAATCTGATTTCCTCAAATGTCACACGTTACAACCGAGAAGAGGACTTTATACTGAGATGCTTTTAAGACAGAGTGGGCAGGAACATGAATTGTTTTATAATAATGTTTATTTGAATGTTTGTGTGCACTTCAGAGTTCTTGGTGTGTCCAAGTACAAAGACTAGTTTAAACACATTTTAAGTAGTGATAAACAACAATATAATATTTTTTTATTAATGTGTGGTTGCACCACTTGACATTGTGGTTGTGTGGTTGCGTCACTTGTCTGGGTGGTCAACTTGATGGTCCTGTTTAAAAATAAAATATTATAGCATTGAAACACATTTCAATAAATTGTATCAATATACTTGCAGATGCAAAACACACACCATACCCTTAGAACGTTTTGAATAATCAATCTAAATAGGCTATTTTGTTACAGACCCTTATGACTGAGCTTTCGCTATGCTCACTTCAGATGTTCAGTTGAATTATGACACAGATAAGGCCTACCATGGGTATGTGCTGTTTTAATGTGTATCTTGTGATAGGCTGTGCATATTATAAGAATACTAGTGTCATGCGGAAACTAATCAATAGTCAGCGTTAGATACTATGGTACTACGGCTTATCTATATGCCATAAATTACCTAAACAGCTAAAGCACTCTGTTTAAGCTTCCCACAGCTCAGATTTAAATAAATCTTTCATGGCTTTGTGCTCTAGTAAATCATGAAAACCCCCCCTGGATATTCTTTGCACGGCCAAAGGCAAACCCAGAAATGTGAATTGCAAAGATGGTTATGTGGTCCAGTCCATATGTGTAGCTGATTAGGGTGCAGCAGAAATAAGGACCGTATTCAAACCAAGTTCCTGAGTCTAGACTGTATATTTGAGAGCAACATGGACATCTTTTGATGTACCGAATGCAAATGTGCTTGCCGTGCAAATAAACGGCCAAGCGTGGACGGTTTAACAAGAAGGCCAAGAGAGCCGCTTCGTCTCCTCAGCTTTCCATTAATGAGCAGGCAATGGCAGCGGCTGCTCCTGTTCTCCCGCCTCCACTTCACCAACAGACTGTGGCTCATTCTTGCACTGGAAATTTGGAAGATATGTCATACGGAAAGGCTGTGCTGGCACATTATTAACAGGTTCTGAATTGACAAAGTCTTAGCTCTCAGTTTCATCAATGTGTAAAAAGCTAAACCCTAGAGGACTGGCAAAAACAAGAACAATATATGTGGTCAGAATGAATACTAAATATCTTTGTTGGACCGAAACCTCTTATCTCTGAAAAAGTAACTTTACATGATAAGGAAAAAAACATTTTTAACTTTGAAACATTTGTTGCAGCCCTATACACATACATATACATATATATCACTGTTCACTTTGCTAGACACATCTACCTTGTTGGTCCACCTCGTTAGATGTAAAGTCATAGCTCATCTGCTGCTGCACAGTTTGTGCTGGTCATCCTCTAGTCCTTCATCAGTGATCACAGAACGCTGCCCAAAGGATGCTGGTGACTGGATAATTGTGGTCGGTGGATGATTCTCAGTCCAGTAATGACAGTGAGGTGTTTAAAAACGCCAGCAACACTGCTGTGTCACATCCACTCGTACCAGCACAACAGACACTAACACACCACCACATCAGTGTCACTGCAGTTGTGCTGTGAATGATCCACCACCCACATAATACCTCCTCTGTGGTGGTCCTGTGGGGTTCCCGATCATTGAAGAACAGGGTAAAAGGGGGCTAACAAAGTACGCTGAGAAACAGATGAACTACAGTCTGTAATTGTAGAACTACAATGTGCTCCTTTATGGTAGGTGGAGCTGATAAAATGGATGAGTGTAAATACAAGAAGGTGTTCCTAATAAAGTGCTTAATGAGTGTATACATATGAGAATTGCAACAAATATTTGATAAATTTGTTGAATATTCAAATACCTGACCTGTCACTATCACTGTGAACCCAGGTACTTGTTTGTTTATCAAGCTAAATGCTAGCTTATCACCAGCAGCAGACTGGAGATTGTAATTAGGCCCAGCTTGCAAAACTCACAGTTTGCAGCAACAGTATCAGTCTGAACTCCAGGTGCAGTCCAAATACGTTTATTTCTGCTCCACAATGCTAGCTAGCATGACTTCAGTTGCATGTATAACCTGGAATAAATAAGAGCGTGTAGGCGAACTAGCTGCCTAAGTTTGTGGTGAAATTATTCAGACTACACCGTGGCTGAGTTTAACGCATACTCTGGCACACAGTGGTTTTGAGTGGCTTGAAAACCTCAACACTCCCTCGTTTACTGACAAAGCTTTGACCAAAAAGTTGTTTTCATTTTTAAGACAATGGTTTCTTCAAACAGAGCCAGCAACCTGTTCAGGGCTGCCAGATTAGAAAGGATCCCCATTTTAATATTTAAATTCAGCTTTCACTGAAAATAATCAGTGATGGTTTTCCATTACCTTGTAGTATTATATGTAGTACAGTATTATTAAAAAGTAAAATAAATAAATAGAAAATAGAAATTATAAAAAGCACAAAATAATAATTCAATAGTTGCAGCCCTAATACATGTTAATGTGTTTTATCTGGATATTTTTGGTTGGTGGTCTACTCTCAACTCAGCAGTGACACAGAGTTGTTAATAAACTCCAGTAACACTGCTGTATATGATCCACTCTGCAGTCTGTTGTTTGTTCAGTTTGAAGTAGCAGTTGGCGCAGCTCATCTTAGAGTTTTTAAAGAAATATTGAGGACAGCTGTGTTTGTTGGATGAGCACACCAAATGGATCAGTGTTCTTTTGCACAAGCCGCGCAGTTCAGGTGCATAATCTGATCAAACCAATGTAAGATATAGACCACATTAAAACATAACCTGAACAACTATACAGCAAAATCAGATTTGGGCAGTAAAATGGATCTGAGCCACTTTTTTACGTGCAGTCTGAACGTAGCCAAAATAACCACCTTCTAATTTTGTTATGGTGAAGACTCAATAACAGGTGGCTGGACTGTGTGTGTGCTTGTACGTGTGTGTGTCTAGATTACTGTTGCAGGACCATTGTTCAGAACCCCTGATGGGAATCTTGAGGCTGACTGAATAGGAGATGCTGTAGTGGTCTCCAGTTACTGCCAGCACTTTCTAAGTGACAGGGTCTTGGCACTGGCCCACTGGTTGCTTCTTAATGTTGAGATGCACCTGATAATAATGTCATCTGCCTGCACCCCCAGCCTCCCGCCCGCTTCCATTGTATAACACAAACTCATTGAAAAGCAATCAATAGACGCTAAGAGGCTGAGAGTCTTGCCACTGCCAGCATTTGTATTACACTGAAAAGAGCACAACAAGAAGATCCACCAAAGCCTAGTAATTATAATTAAGAGCTTGCCACACAAAAAGAGGGGAGGGGGGTGGGGGCAAGAATCTTTTCTCCTTCATCCCATTTCACACAGAGGCTCAGATTATAGCAGGCACCAACAAAACTTCCCTGTACGTATAATATGAAGACAGC